CTAGAAAAGATCATATTGAGTGAGGTAACTCAGACATAGGAAGACAAATGTCACATGTTCTTCCTCATCTGATGCTCCTAGCTCCAAATCTTCAGATGTGAGTACACAGCCTAGAGTAACCGCAGAAACCAGGAAAGTAAAAACGGGACCACTTCTGGGGTGGGAGTGCAGGAAAAAATAAAGAAGGGGATAGCAAGGTACAAATAATCTGATGGTAACAACAAGAAAAATGGAGGGGGCAATAATTAGGAATGAGGAGGGAGATAAATATAGAAGGAGAGTAACATAATAGTAACAATGTCTGAAAAAGTCATAAGGAATCATACTAGTAACAATCTACCAAAAACCTATATATACACATCTGTATATAAATATTCATATATAGTTTAAATGACATTTTCCCATCTGGGTTTACAACGTTCCCTCCAAGCCAAAGACCACCTAACAAAAACATAGCCTGTATTAGAAGTCCTCTCCTGAGTCGTTGGCCAAGGCTATCCAAGAGATTTACAAGCCATACAGCCTGTTGCTGTTGTCCTTCGTTACCTCCCAGAGATGGAAAGTAAGTCCTTGTTGCTGTAGACATCGTGTACTTCAGACACAAGGTCCAGAAGCCCCTGAGCTGGAACTAACCTGGAAGCCTCCTCCCTGAAGACCAGCTTTTGGGGGTAGTGCCTCTTTAACAAGGACGGGGCTTGGAGGTAAGGGATGGAAAGCCAAAGCTCAAAGCTGAAATTAACTTGTCGTTATCGGAGATAACCTGCTGTTTTATGGATCATGTTTGTCTATTTCACAGTTTACAAAATGCATGAAATGGGGTGGGTCGTTCTGATCCTCACAGCATCATAGAGATGCTTACTAGCTTCACTTTGTAGTTGAGGTTCAATAACCACGGTCACACAGGTTAATCTGAGGCTTAAATCTTCTGGCTCTAATATCACTTTTCTCCTCCATCCCCTCACACGCAGACAGATAGAAGCTGTGGATAGACAGCAGTGAGTAAATGACTCTTTTCCTAGCTAGATACTACAGAGGATTGTAGAAATTAATGATATTTTGTTTCTAGGGAACTGAGGTAACTTCCTCCTAGTCTCTCTCTCTTTCAAAGCCACCCCCACAAGCACAAGCAGGAAGATTGATTGGCACCTATTGTTCACTTTACAAGAATAGATGAATGACATTTCTATGTCAGTGATACTTGAAGCAACAAAAGGAGAGAGGCTCTTCCAGTGACTTCTTTTGCATACTATCCCATGGAAGCCCTGACTTTTCATTCATACCACTGAGGAGATATTTGTTTCCTGAAAATGCTAATAACACAAAGCTCATAAATACTAATGAAATACTATAGATTAGCAGAGCTCAGCAAGTAACCTAGGGAGCCTAGACAAGAATTCTTAGATTAAAAAATATAAAGAATACCTTTTAATCAAAATTTCCCCAGACTGGGTTCCCAAACGTTAATGAGTACTCTGCCTGACTGTGTGGAGAGCTGACTCTAACAAGTACCTTTAAAAAATGCAGAAGTGAATTATTGACTTAGCTTTAGTTGAAAAGAAATCTATTTACTCAAAGGCTATTTTAGGTGCCACGGGATGGACGTGTTTAAGACAAAGGTGGGAGGGTAGGACAGCCTGGGACATTGAGATAAACACATCACTTAAATTCATGCTCCCATTTCAGCCAACTAAGCAATCTAAGTTGGAGTTTGCTTATTATATTTGTCTTTTATGGCACAATCCTTCAGTAATAATTGCCCTGGGTTCCAAGAGCTGGTGTCAGAAACCATAACTTTGTCATTCATTGCTGAACCTACTATGCCCAACAGACTCTGGCACAAATCAAATGTCCAATAAATGTTTGTAAATGGATAAAGGGCTCTCTTACAATATTTTACAGAACTTTGCAGATCTGTGATCTTTCCCTAAATGTCAGCTCGGATCTCCGTGACTGGCACAAAGCTCCCACACAAGACCCATTCTCTACCCTAGTCCTTGTCACTCCTCTTCCAGTCTCCTCCTCTCCCACTCTGGACTTGAGGCTCAATGGAAGGCAGCCTGTTCTTCCATTCATGTTCTAGACATTGCTCTGCCTGAGATGTTTAAATATCCTTTTTGCCCAGTTCTCCATCAAAATCCTACCTGGCTTTAGGAGAATCTTTAAGTGGTTGGAAACTGCCCTAATGCTCTCCATGGCTCAGTACCCTTTCTCTGGCTGATGCCTCCTCCTCCTTGCAGAGCCAGCACCACCTGATGCAGAACAGTTTATGAGTGAGTGTGGCTTGGTGTCACTGTATGTGAATCGCAGATACTGTGCAAGGGAGCCCTTGGTCCCAGGAAGGCTATGTGTGGGATCAAGTAAGAGGAGACAACCCAAATCTTCCCACAACAGAACAGAAATTTTTCTCTAAGTCAGTGGTTCTCAACCTGTGAGTTGAGACCCCTTGGGAGTCCCATATCAGATATCTGGCATATCAGATATTTATATTATGATTTATAGCTGTAACAATTTACAGTTATGAAGTAGCAACAAAATACTTTTATGGTTGGTGGTGACCACAACATGAAGAATTGTGTTAAAGGGTCGCAGCATTAGGAAAGTTGAGAACCACTGTTCTAAGTAAACCAAAAAATACTGGATATACAAGACTGAAGAAGACAACAGAAGTTCAGTGTGTGTGTGTGTGTGTGTGTGTGTGTGTGTGTGTGTGTGGCTGGGGCCACTGTGGAGTTCTGGCTTATGTGTGTTTGTGGCTGGAATTGGGAGTTGCCTGTGGAGTTACCACCAATGGTTACTTTTTTTTTCAGGGAGCCTGGAGTCTTGGAATTGAAATGGCGTGTAGGCAGAACAACATCGCCATTGTGGCATGCCTCCAGTGAGAGAACATGACTCTCCAGAGTACTTTTTACTTTGTTGCACGTTGAATTTTAGTTTGAGCTTACGCTTTCTGTAAATCCGAACTTAGGAAGGAGTTGGGTTTGTTCTGGGTCTTTGTGCATTAGGGAAGTGTCTTACAATAGGATATCAATCTCTTTGCAGAATGCTCTACAGTAGAATGGGATAATGCTTAAGTCAGTATGAGGACTAGCCAAGGATTCCAAGACTCTGCAAATCCTGGGCTGCTTGCCAAAAATGGGTTAATTCCATACAAAAGACTAGGAGGCCCGGAGCAATGCCTGTACACAGTTCACTCACTGGAAATCTGGAGCCAAACTTCCCAGAATGAGGAAGTCCAGCTCTGCCACTCATGTATCCTGCAACTTGTGCCTCTATCTCTAGTTGAAGGATGGAGGATGATAATATTGAGTCAGTGAGTGTGAAGTGAATCAATAGGTAGAATGTGCCTAGAACAATGCCTGGCACATAATAAATGCTTTAAAAACATAGGCTAAAGTCATCTTTGTACTTTTATAGCATTACTTCAGTTCCTGTGGGCCATAGGGTACAGTTATAGGTGCCAATCTTCACAAATACCATTTGGATCAAGGCCAAATATCAGCAGACCAGGCCAGGTGGAGCTAGGATAGGCATATGGCCACTGAATATATCGGACAATTATAGAGCATGTTATCTAAGGCATTATACCTCTTCTAAGGCACCTTGTAACCTACCACGATGTGAAGCCCATCCTTAGCCTCCAGGCAATAGCACCAAACCTGAATTAATCTGGAATTTGCAGCTCAGGATACGCACAGGGTGTCTGGTGCACCTGTCCACAGTACAGCATCATCCTATTCCTCACTTGAAAGACAACATGCCCGAACCACTCAGGAGTCTATGGCTGGACATTGTAAGTTCAAGCCTACACTGGCTGATGTATAGAGATCCTGTTTGTCAGCAAAGCATCAAGTAAAATGCAATATAATTCACATCATTATTATCCTCTGTCAGTGTCCTTGGGAGGATGCCATATTTATTACCTAAAACTCTGGGTGTTCCCTACAGTCCATGTATCCTCGGACATCCTGCTGCACCACCCTAAACCTTGTATAATCATCCTTAAGTGAAAGAACTGACCAGAAGTCTCCAGCCTGAAAAGCAGTTATTCTTGCTATTTGCATCCAGGGTAATGTGTTAACACAACAAGGGGTTTCCTCACTTTTTCTGAATCATGTCTGTTCCCAAAGTCATCTCTGATCACAAGAACCTGTGGATTCCAGAATCCATGGGACCTTCTGAGACTTCATATCTGAGTGCTACTCCCTGAGATGTATGTGGAAATGGGGAGACATGAAGACAGAGAACCTACTTGTAGGAGAATAGGAGGATGGCCCATCTTCCGAGCTTGGAATATGGGTCCCATTCCTGTTCCCAGCATCAGTACCCAGGGGTTGTTAGGCCTCTCTCCCTGGGGGAAAAAGGGCTCCGTAGCGAAGAGGCTGGGAAGGTTTGCTTTGAAGCAGCAAGTGGGATGATAAAGAGAGAGAAGGCAGAAAGGACCAGATTCAGGAGTAGGGTATAAGGAGAAAGGGAGCTAGGGAGTTGGAAAAAGAGCAAGCACCCAGTAAGCGTTGCAGGGATGTGGCAAGATGAGGACCTCTTAGTCGAGAAGAGGAAATCTCATCCTGTGTTTAAGCTTTAGGAAGCATTACAAATGATAAGCTGTGTTCCTACGGAGTCATACATGGAGCTATCATATGGGAAATACACACTCATCACCTGCCAGGTGAGCTACAGTTGAGGAAAGACTGAGACTTGTCACTTTAGAGGACACATGGGGAGAATTAACCAGAAAGCACATGGTATACACACTGATTAGTTTATCCAACAACTGCTGAGCACCTAGTGTGTACCAGGTCTGACATAACATTAATTCTTTTATCTTAAGTCTAATATCATGTGTGTCCATTATGAGAATAGGTTAATGGCTATTGACTCATTATATGCACTCTGCAAATTGTTAATTCCTTTTCCTTTTTAAGCATAAAGCCACCGACACTGTGAAAATGATGGACCATCCCTCTGCATTTCTCTTGAATTGTCTGTTTTACTCTCTCCAGGTGTTCCTTGCTGGCGTGCCCAAACCTGAAGCCGAGAGAGGAATCAATGACAAGTGGCCAGCACTGTGTCCTCTGGACCCCAGGGCTTGTTAGATAATTGAATCCTTAGGCCCCACACTAGCCCAGCACCATGGAGAGAAACAGTTCCTTCTTCAACTCTATCTGGGAAACCATTCGAACCAGACATGAAAGGGGCATCTTCAACACCATCTGCCTGGCTGTCCTCCTGGGGCTGCCCCTAGTGGTGGTTCTTACCCTCCTCTTCGTCTGCTGCCATTGCTGCTGCAGCAGGCCACCCAAGAGTGCTCAACAGCCAGACCAAAACAGGAAGAAGAAAAAGAAGAAGAAGAAAAAGGATGAAGACCTCTGGATCTCTATTCAACCCAAGCTCCTCCAGATGGATAAGAGGCCATCACTGCCTATCTAAAGCAAGGAAGCGGGGTGAGCTCCCCTTTGAGTCCAGCCTCCTTCCAACCACAGAGACTTGGGAGGAGCCTTAATAGTGATGCACTCATGCCTACAGATTACTTAACCAAGGAACACATCAGACTGAGCATCCCAATGGATGGGAGCATATGGACAAGTCTTACACTGTCTTGGCAGCTATGTGTCCAATAACAGTGCTCTGTGTTGTAGTCCCAAGCATGTACTACACTGTCTCTGGTATACTCTATCACAAAAGCACAGAAAACATGTATACATGCACTTTAGAAGGAGTCTGAGTACATACACATAGCCACTATGTGTATGTATATTTGGACAACAGGTACACGGGACAGCATATTCTGTTTATCATGTGGCCATTTAATATGTACTTTGCTCAAATATACACACTTACAAAAATGTCTTACGGGAAGACATGTCCAGATTTAGACATGTATGCACAATTAAATAGCCATGCAAGGCCCTATGCACTGTCCATATACCATTCAGGTTGGAGGTGGGTGCTTTCCTATTCCTATACCTACATAGTATTTCACTGGAAATACATTTGAACATTCCAGCAACTTGGTACAGAACCCCATCCCAGTGTATATTGATACAGATAGTGGTTCCTATATGCTTCTGACCTTTTACCTGTGCCTAAAAGTTTAAAGTATGATTCCAAATCCATTAATTAGCTCTCTCCTTGCAACTCTCAACAAGGTCCTCATTACCACCGGCAGGCATTTAATGTGGTTCAAGACCTCTCGGGGACATTACCCCGTAACTACTCAGCAAGGTGCCCTTTTCTAAGCAGTGATGAACAGCTCTTGGCAGTGACTACTAGAAATCTATGGAAACCCATGAATTCTCTTCAATGGGCTGCAGTAATGTGCCCAAGCAATGTACATACAGATAAAACAGGTAAGGAGATGCCCCACATGAGTCATCTGTGTTCTGTGTGGATAAAGGTTTTCAGATAGGAAAAAGACAAGTCCAATCAAAAGCAGCACATGCCCTGGAAGCAATCCGCTGCACTTGGACCATTACATGGTGTGCTGCAGGCGCAATGTAGAAGCCATAGTTTGAACAAAAGATTGAACTGTAAAGTCATCTGTTGCTATTTATGTTGATGCTCAGGCAAATACCTTGTACACAATAGGTACTCATAACTGTGGGTGAATATACAATGATGTTAAGGATAAACTTGTAATACCTCACAGTTCCCCATCAAGTGACCTGCTCTTTTAAGATACTCCACTAACGGCTACAAAAGATGAGACTAGATATTGAGACCAGTGTTGTGTTGACACATGTGCCCTAGGGTACCTGTGGGCATACCCATAAGATCTTTTCTGAGTGGAGGAGATCCTTTCCTCCCCAGGCTAAGAGAATGAACTGCTTGGTGTTTTGATTATATTGTGGCCATGTTACTAAGGCAGAGAATTCCCAACTAACAGCTCATTTGCACAGCTACTGGGGAGTTCCTTAAATACTTCCCCCCATGGAGACCATTATAGAAAGTGCCAAATCACTGTCTAATTAATGGCATAACCAAATTATGATGTGACAGTAACAAGAAAAATCCTTGAATGTGATGAGACTGTGAATGGAAAGCTGTACTCTGCTTGCTCACTTGGGCTAAACGGTAGTCACGGTTCCACTCCAGGCGAGTGGAGGATGGCTAGCTAGTAGTGGCTCTTAAACCTGGGTCTTCTAACAGCCAGAGCAGTCATATTCACTCTCTAATCCTATAAAACCTCAGCGTCCCTAGCAAACAGGCCTCTTTGACAAGAGCATCCTGATTCTCTGCCCCTTTGTCACACGGGGAGCTCGTTGTGATGCACCTGACTATCCTCCACATGTCACGGAATAGTCTGGCTTCTCCCCATACCACACGTCCCTCTCTCTGCCAGTTGCTACCCACCAGGTGTCCTTCCCACCTCTAACTTTCAGTCACCCTAAGACAGAAGACCTGGGGTAGAGGTGGAGCCAGACGCGCAGATGGGATGTCAGATAAGTCTGCAAGAATGGATCACCAGGATCAGGGACCACACAAATAACATGGTTTCTGTGACAACTGGGCTGCCAGTTTGAATCAAGACAGAAGACAGTTGTCACTGATGCTATAACAAGGCCTCTGTCTCCAGGCACAGTGTACCTACTGCTTTCTAATCAAATGGACTCAAGCCGGTTCCTGTCACAAATCACCCGGGATGTCAATTCTCAGTTGTTTCCATTCCCTGGAATCCAGAAGTCCCAACCCTGATTGGATCACCAGTTTCTGACCCCTTCCTGTCACAACTTCTCTGACAGCCTTTATGGAAAACCTAGGATGGTTCAGGAGCAATGACATGAAAGGCCCCCACATTGACACTGGGGAGCAGAAGCCCAAAGCGGTGCCTGGTGTCCTGTCTTCCTGCTTCACGCTTTTCCATTCTTGTTGCTTCTTCTCCCTGCATCGTGCCGGTTCATTCCTCGTGACTCTCCACTTTTTCCCCACAGTCCATCCCAGAGCTGCCACAGATACAGTCAAGGGGTGGGGGTGGGTGCTCAGGACCTGTGTCTGCCTGACCCATCTGGGGAGCTTAAATTATTGGAGAACATAAGAGGCTTGGGGGGGGGGGCTGGAGGGATGGCTCAGCAATCAAGAGCACCTGCTGCTCTTGTAGAAGATCCAGGTGCCAGGTACACACATGGTGCACATGTATACATGCAGGAAAACACTTGTACATGTAAAATAAATGTCTTAAAATCTTCCTTAAGGAGGATTCATTCATAAAGAGGCCTTCTAAACCGCCACAGACTTGGGGAGGGGTCCCTCCCCATGCTGGACTCCTAGTCTGCCTTGAACACACTCAGATATGGTCAGAGGGGTCTTTATCCATTGTTCAATGAATTCTTTTGATTTCTTGGGAGGAGGAAAAGGAACAGGAAAATGTAAAGAAAGGGCAGTCACTTTTCCAAGAAGAATATATAAATGATCAAAGTTGTACAGTATTTGTCAGTGTTTTTCTGTAAAATCAAATACATATGAAGTTTATTTAAATAAATATTTTGAAACTGAGATCCTCCTTGCATGTTGGAGTGAGTTACTTGATGTCCTATCACTAAGATAATATTCTCACTCAGAAATGACAGATGGAGTGATTCTCCCTGATTGGTCACTGCCCTCCTAGAATCTCAGGTCCAAGGACCAGGAATGCTACATCTCTCCCCTCTATGCAAAACAAGAAACTATGAAGACTGAACTGGGTAATTGATGGCTGCAGAAAAACATACCGATATTCCCTGGAGACACTTAGAAAGCATTTCTCCAGTGAAGTTGACCAGTGTCTTCTTATAGGAAAAGAAGAAATATTAAAGATCTTAAAAATAAATCAGGCCCTCTGGGTTAATCTGTTGCTGTGAAACAAAGGATAAGGACCCTGCAGTAGCTTTTAGGGACACAGATGCATGTGTCTATGTGCACGTATTATATAAGCATATATACCCTTTTTCTAAGTCAACCACAACTTTGCGATAGTTCGAAAAGGAAGTGATTTAGATGGTCCTGGTTCCTCTCACCCCCATGCTTAGCTTGTCATTAAAGTAGAAGCCACCTAGAGTGCTGGCAAACAAAAGCACGAAGTTCTCTACCAACACTGCCCAGTCTGCTACTATTAGCCACATGTGGCTTAGTTCACTAAATTTAAATCAAATTAAAATCCAGAGCTCAATGAGGACAGCCATATTTCAAGTGCTCAATAGCCACCCCATGGCTTCACCACCCAAAGTGGCATGGGGTTATCATCTTCTAGAAAGAGTAGTCACATGTTTGTGCACAGCTGTGCTGTCTTAGTGGGAGCCTGAGAAGGGAGACCCACGGCACAGCTGCATGTTTTGTCATCTTGCCCAAGGCAGACTGTTTCACTGTTGATTCCTGTGCTCCTTCTCCTGTCACTACACATCCGTGACAACCAGGGAGCAGAGTCTTGAGTCAGCCTGCCAGTCATTCCTCCGGGACATTGCAAAACTTCCCAATGCAGAGGAGGGGCTGCCCAGAGGGCCACAGCATACCTCCCAGGCTCCTCATAAGCTCACCACTCCCTGAAGGCCCCTCAGCAACACCTGCCCAGACCCGCCCATACTCTGGGAACTGCACAATGCAATCATTCCTCAGCATTCTCAACTCACTGGAGTACTCCACTGGCTGCTTGCCCTTTGGCCTTAGGATTATTCTTGAATTCAAAGTCGCAGGAAAACAAAACCGAACAAAATAAACCACTTTGAACAACATACCGTATCTGCCTTAGGTTCAACTCATTGAGATGTTTTCAGATCCCCTTGGGGACAAGAATCACACATTATTCAGCAATGGCAGGGCATACACATGAGAATATTTGCGCTTTTACTATGTGCCAAGTCCAGTGAGCCCCCAGTAATGAGAATCTGTCCTGAGAGGTCACAACCTGCCTAAAGGAACAGACCACTACAATATAGTGTGCTCATTGCTGTCCCAGAGGGACACATGCCACAAGGCTGGCATTGGATCAAGCTAACAAAGAGTCACACTGGGGTGAACTGAGAGGGGAGGTCACCACTGGCAGAATGGATGAGAGTCCCTCATTGTGAGGTAGAACTCAAGACTAGGATGGTCCAGATCCTGATGCCCACACCAGCTCTTACTCTGTGTTGTCATCTACTAAGACATATCTTCAAAAATTAAACAGGAAGAATGCACATGAAACATTTAGCATCGCAACTGGCTTGGGGAAAGTGCTCAAGTGTTGCAAATGTGACTAGAAGGAAAATCATGGTTTGTGTTCTAGAAATCAAAGGAGAAACTTCCAGAGGAGGGAATCAGATTATCTCTTTGGCTTTCACTCACCTTTCTCTGTCTCCCTTTCATCATCCTGTTGACCATTCATGGAAAACCAGCCTTGGGACTGGCTAGTCCTATACTCCTATTGAGGAAAAAGAAGAGTCAAAAGTTTAGAATGATGATAGAAAGCCTTAAGACACAAACGCTCACCTACCCCTCCAGGGCCTTGTAGCACATAGGTACCACTCATGATCACATACGATTCCTACTTCACAAACACAGAAAATGAGGCTCCAAGAAAAGAAACCAGCAATGGAAACCATAGTCTTCTTCAGGTGCTTCATGGGTCTGTAAGGCTCCAATGTCCTTTTCATGTGTTCCACAGCAAGCCCCGCCCACCTCCTTGGCCTCTCCTCATTAAACCTAATGATTTTTACTAACCAAAAACAAAGAACAGCATTTATTTAATTTTCTTTAAACTTACAATCTGGGCTGTACAGATGGTTCAATGGTCAAGAGCACTTGTTGTTCTTGAAGAGACCCAGGTTTGGTTCCCAGCACCACATGGCAGGCCACAACCATCTGTGACTTCAATTTCAGGACTTCCCATGTTTTCTTCTGGACTCTATAGACACCAGGGTTGTGCTGGTGCATATACATGTATGAATACTTGTGCACACAAAATAAAATAATTAAGTCTAAGACAAATCTCTTTTCAAAATTTAAAAACCGGGGGAGGCAAGCCAAATGTAAAAATAACTAAAGTTTACAGTACTACGTCACAACTATTCTATCTTTGCCCTTAAAATTATATAGAAGTTCACCTATTCTATAATGAGCAGGGTTTGTGAGCTAATCCAGGAACCTTATTTACATAACACTGGGACTGGAACTCAAAGCATCCACAGAAACAATCAACTCACACAGGCACTTTGGGAAGAGTTTGGAAATACCCCTGGAACTGTCTACTGACTGCCCAGCCCAATGCACTGAGGTAGAGGGGTTGGGGGGTAGACAGAGCCAAGGACCCACTAGGCAACACGCTCCAGGGAATGCCTGCATACCTGTTGTGCTAGTCCAGACACAACACTTCCTTGAGCAACCACTAAGTTCAGGCCACATGCTGACTGGACCCCACTGCCCATCTCTCCAGAGAATGTTACACAAGAAGGAAGAAAAGTATGGACCCCTCCAGAACTTTCCCCATGTGTAGGAACTTTTCGCTTGAACCAAGAGTCGCCTCGTAAGGCAACACTGCCATCTGCTGGCAAGACTAGGTATGGCAGGCCTCTTGCCCCTGGCGGCGGGATCCAACCATATTGATTGGCTCCCATTGACATGAGCTCTCTTGATCCTCTCTATCGCCCTGGTGAAAGGCTTAAAGCAGTGAATGACTTGTCATGTTTTTTAAAGTGGAGTGGGGACATTTTCTCGGGACTAAATGTCATCAGCAGTTTTTCACCGTCTTTTCTTTTTCTTTCAGTTCCTTGCCTGTCTTTTTGTCTGCATGTTCTCGATTTGCACAGCCCACACCTGCTTTTTTCTTTCCTTTATCACCATTCTTTGAAAATCCTATCCTTCCCTCTCCCTCCCTCTCCCTCCCTCTCCCTCCCTCTCCCCCTCTCCCCCCCCTGTGTGTGTGTGTGTGTGTGTGTGTGTGTGTGTGTGTGTGTGTGTGTGTGTGGTCTCCCCTCCTCTCCCTCCCTCTCTCCTGCTGCAATGTTTCTAGCTTTTGTAATCCTTGAATTCCTGATAATTCTAAGTTATACAACAGAGTGCTTGAATTTACTTGACAAACATAAATGCCGCGCATTTGCAGAGGAAGCAGCCATGACACACAACTAGTCCCAAGCTCCTTGGTTCACCAGCAGCTCTTGAAGGTGGTTCACCTTAAATCCCGCTGACTCTACAGCTCTCTCCCCAACACAGACCAAAGGAATCCTTACCTCTTGCTGGAACTAGTAAGGCGCCTGTGAGCTGCTCTGGGAGCCTCCATCCTTTCCCTATGCCCCACCCATGGAGGATGGTTAAGGGCATAGGATACCATCAGATAGGAGGAATGACTCCCGGTGTTCTGTATCACAGTGGAGTAACCGGTTGACAAGGATTAACCGCATGTTTCAAAGTAACTAATAGAGAGGATTTTGTGTGTTCTCAACACTAAGATATGATAAATGTCTGAAGTGAGGCATATGTCAGTCACACTGATCTGATCGTGTCACACTGCATATGCATATTGAAGTGTCACACTTCACCCCATCAATATGTGTCGATTAAAAGGAGCCTGAGGAGTGGGGAGACAGCTCAGTGGGTAAATAGATTGCTACCCAGGTGTGAGGGCTTGAGGTAAATGCCAGTTCGGCGTGGCAGCCCACCTGAAGTCAGGCTTTACTCGCACACTCACGAGGCAGAACAAGCTGAGTGGCTCCACTGGCCAAACCTGTGAGGTGTGGGTTCAGAGAGAGAGCTGTCTTAGTAAATAAAGTAGAAAGTAACCAAGAGATATGCAGGGCCTCCACACACGCATTCCCACCCATGTTCATATATGCAGGTGCGCGCGCGCGCGCACACACACACACACACACCCCAGTGATTCTCTTTCCCCTTAAGTCACGACCATCCTGATTAGTTTCCAAGCTGTCTTCTCACACTTCTGGGAGCTGACCAGGGGCAGTCGTTGGCTTGCTCTCTACCTGTGCATGTACAGAATGACAACACTCTGGAAACTTTACCAAAGTTGGTGGGACAGATGTCCTGGCCCCTGCTCTGCTCCTGGCTTCTAGTGTATCCCCGCTCCTCAAACCTCTGTTCACTTTGGGTCATCCTGAAGCACGGGGTGGCTTCCTTTAAGTTTCAAAGCTTCCAGGATTCATAACTTAGGTCTAAGGACAGTGTTTGAACCGCTCTGAAAAGCAGATCTACCAGGAGCCCATTTCATTGGCCCATATAAATGAACTGCTGGGCTGGCCATGTTAGAGCAAGCGGCAGCATGGAGGAAGGTTGGGGCCCGCTCTCTAAACACTCTTTAAAAATGAATTTCCTGCCGGGCAGTGGTGGCACGTGCCTTTAACCCCAGTACTCAGGAGGCAGAGGCAGGCAGATGTCTGTGAGTTTGAGACCAGCCTGATCTACAAGAGTTAGTTCCAGGACAGCCTCCAAAGCCACTGAGAAACCCTGTCTGGAAAAACCAAAACAAAAATTTCCTTCCCTACTCACAGTGGAATCTTTGAAGGTCGGTGTCTTGGTTAGGGTTTTAGTTGCTGTGAAGAGACACCATGACCACAGCAACTCTTTTACAATAAACATTTAATTGGGGCTGTCTTACCGTTTCAGAGGTTTGGTCCATTATCATCAGAGCAGGACATGGCAGCCTGCAGGCAACCATGGTGCCGGAGGGGCTAAGAGCTCTACATCTTGACCCACAGGCAACGGGAAGCAACTGTGACCCACACTGAATGCAGCTTGAGAAAAGGAGACCTCAAAGCCCAGCCCTGTAGTGACACACTTCCTCCTTCAAGACCACACCTCCTTCAAGCCATGCCTCCTAATAGTTCCACTCCCTTGGGGGGTCACTTTCTTTCAAACCATCATAGTCAACTAAAGATTTCTCCATAGCAACATAGAACTTCGTTATTTATGCCAAGGAAGCTGAAACAACTCCAGTCTCCCACATGTCACTTGAGTGACCAGCAGTGGGATAGCCCCTGGGTCAATGAACCTGAGATGTACATGGCATCATCTGGAGTGATCAAAGCCTCCTCCAGAAGTAGCTTTCATAGCAGAGCTACCCAGAAAGGGCACCGATGCTAGCAGTAGTTTCAATGAGTCATAACATCTGAGAGGGGAGACCACCAAGCTCTACCTATGGTGGCTTGAATAAGAATGGCCCCATAGGCTCCTATATTTGAATGTTTGACCATTAGGGAGTGGCACTACTTAAGAAGGATTAGGAGGAGTGGCCTTGTTGAAGTAGGTGCAGCCTACTTGAAGAAGTGTGCCACTGACTGGTGGCCTTTGATGTTTCCTAAATCAGGCCCAATGCCTTTCTCTCTTCCTGCTGCCTGCAGATCTGGATTTAAAACTCTCAGCTACGTTTCCAGTACCAAGTCTTCCTGCAGGTCACCATGCTTCCTGCTGAGATGACAATGGACTAAACCTCTGAGACTGTAAGCAAGACCAGTTAAACACTTTCTTGTATCACAGTTGCTGTGGCCGTGGTGTCTCTTCACAGCAGTGGAACACTGACTAAGACAGTGTCTTAACAAGCACATGTAAGAAGCCTGTTAATAGTTGAGGGTCTTGCTACTGTTGGCCATCTCTGGCTCCAGGCCAATTTAATCCACTTTTCCAAGGAAGCAGTTTCTTGCCTAAAGGTTTGAACAGGCCAGGATGAGCCCAAGGACTGTGATTTGTAGAGATGAAGCCCATTGTTACAAGCTAGCACAAAAGGCTGCAGAAGAGTTTCTGAGGATGTGGATGGAGCTTGAAGGCTCTCCAGAGGGACCTAGGACAGAGGAGGAAGTAATGGTGGGCCTAAGCCACAACACAGAAGCATCAAAACTCAAAGAACCTGTCCTGAAAATATCTCCCCGCCAGGAAGTCTTCCAGGTCCCCACCCCAGCCACCTCCATCACTATCCACCCCTTCGGCTCTCTTCAGTAGTGCCCACCTCCTGAAGTTAGAAACTGACTTGGCTTTTGTTGTCAGTCTCCAGCACTAAAGATGATTTGTTACTTACTGTCAATGGTCACCACTGGAATAGAAGCATGGCTTGTTTATTGTCAGCCTTTGGCTAGGCTATTCAGAACAAAGTATGTATGTGAATGCTTTGTTTATTTGGAAAGGTCTAGCACTTAGAACAGAACCTGGTCCTGGATAAGATTTAGGTAGTAAGAGTTGAGTAAATGAGTGAAAGAATAAATGACAGCCTCCGAGCCCATCAGCACCAGGACTGGGTGTGGCTTGTTTATCTGCTTCTCCAGCAGGCCACCACTTACTAGATTCTTCAATCAATGAACAAGGTGCACGCACCTTTTCAAAGATTAGCCCCGGTGCTTAGTGAGCTTCGTTTAGCCCGCTCACTATCAGATCTAGCTGTTGCTGTGGCCTTCCTAGGGGGTGGGAGGACTGAAACCTTGAAAGCTTGGCCAAAGTGATTTCCGGTGTGCGGCTTCTCATTGACCCACAGGTTAAACCTGAGAGAGCTAAGCAACGGTGTACAACCTAGACCAGAAGAGGAAGTGCAGCTTCTAGAACATTTGCCTTCCTCCCCCTTCCCATATGTCTGCTGCATTCCACAGAGCATGACTTTTCATCACACAGTAAGACTGCAGTCAACCACATTCCAGTGTAATGCTCCAATTGTATCTTCACTTGTACGTAAGTTAAATTTAGAATTCAAGTGCACTTAAGTGAAGAAAATAACACAAGGCAATTTTGAAAAATCAAAAGGCTTGTTTATTTTTTTCCTGAATAGGGATTTAAGTTACTTCAATGGTCACTGACTTGGCTACAGAAAACCTTCCAAAATGATACCAGACACACAAGAAGGATGAGATGAGGGAGCTTCCAGTGTGGGGAGCAGGGAAGGAGGGGGACTGATGGCTGATAGGCCTGAGGGGGAAGCAGGAAGACTGTGGGGGAGGACCAGTTATTTAGAGAGACAGATTATTTAAAGGTGAAATGACTGCAAATTTATTTACAACATATGCAGATCTAGGAAAGAGATTATGCAAATGTCTGGAAAGGGGACTGTTAAAAATAGCAATAAAATGGGAGCTTTGGTCTCCAGCATGCTAGAGATCAGTCAGAACTTAGCTAAATATGAATGCATCATAGCGCCTCTGCACACTCTCGTTCTTCTTCATCACACAAGAAATTCAAAAGGAGTAAGGCTTACACTTTTCCCTCAAAACTCAGGAGGAACCAGAGACAAGTATCAGGTTGCTTCAGCTCTGACCATTGAGTGATCGGAACCTCACTTTCGGTTTTTCTCCTAGAAAGACCTATATTATCAGATGCACTTATAGATCTCCACCAATTTCTAAAGATTTCCAGTTGATGATCTACTGGATGACATTATTTTTCAAGCTAATCCAATATATCTGTCATTAAGGATGAACTGAAAAACCATATGGTACCAACACTGTGTCCTGTCCATGTGTACTGTTCAATTACAACATCGTTGACTTTCTGGGCCCTCAGTAGAGACTGTCAAGCATGCAGGTGACATGGTAGGAACCTCTAAACCTTGAAGTGTGATGTCATCATTAGCACTGTGAGTATCCAGCAATCTAAGAAGTTAGAGGCTATGTGCATCCCTCCAACTTCAGCTTCCCAGTCGCCACCACCCACCCCACCCTAAGCTGGTCTTGTCTCCTGTGAAGACAGCTCAAATGCGCCTTCAGAACATCCTCGCTTTTCCTCCTATGGACCGCTTCTTTCGGCCTGAGAAACGGTTTCCACTGTAACCAAAGGGGCGGATTTTCAGTTCCACATAAGGAATGGAGAACTCATGTCCTTTCCATGGCTCCCAGTTCACTCCCTACAAAACAAACAAACAAAAACAATGTACTGAAGAAAAAGTAATTGGAAGAAGAGTAAGGTGGTTTATAGTAAAGGGGATCCTAGCGAGTGAAGTCAATCTTTCTCTGAAGGAGGAGGAAAAGGAAGATGAATTTAGTAGGAGGGCCAGGTCATGCACCTTCTGGAATTTGACAAGTTTAGTGGATAGAGAAAAGAAGCCTCCATGACGGGAAGATGGATATAGGAGAGGCCAGAGCACAAGGATGACAAAGAGGTCAATCTAGGCAGAGATCAGTAAATCAGCTATTGCCTCGCTCTGTTCTTTTCCATAAACTAAAATGCAAAAATAAACATATTAATTAGCCAATTGTGTAAAATCATTTTCAATTTAGACTGTTTAGATATTAGTGCTAGGGTAACAAATGGCCTGCTGAAAACTAAATTTCATTTTATGTCTTTTGACTGGTGAGCACAATAATATTTAATTCACTTAATAACCTTGCAACCTGGCCAATAAAGAGCCCAAGTGACCAATTTTACGTATTTTAATTTGTGAGGTAAATAATAAACAAGAAGCTAAATGCCTTGCAGACCAAGAAAAGCACATTAACCAGATGAATGTCTTTTATTAGCAAATGCAGGGATGGTTTAGGGCATGCTGGCTGCTCATTTCAGATCTCTGATCTCTGATCATAGGCTTCCCCTGGTCAGCCCACATGCTGCCACTGTGATGTATGGGCCAACCCTCCTCACTGCCCTGGGGGGAAATTTCTTCTTCCCTTTGAAAAAAATCACATAAGGATTGGGAATCCTGGCTGCCTGGTAGGGACCAAAGTAATAAACTGTACCTGGCTTTGAGAAGTGCTAATATTTAAAGTAATATTGTATGTGTGAGTTCTGGGGAGAGGTGGCTCCATGAAGGCCAGGATCAGGACCTGGGTGAAAATTAGAGACCCAGGACAGGTTTAGGGCGACAGGAGATTGATGAGGGGTGTAGGAAACTGCAATTTTCAAGGAGCCATGAGGGGTCAGCAGATGTCCTATAGCAGGCAAAGAGTCACAATGATATACAAAGAAGAGAGGAGCCTCACATGCACTCAACCTTGAACACAGTCATGAAGGGGGACAAGAACAGGATGCTCGCAGCAGACTCTTGGTGCCTCAGGTTAAAGCAGAGTCAAGGATGGGTCTGACCTCTGGTGGAATCTGTTCACCCAGTGGTCAAGGGACTGAGAGACACAGCTCTCGTGTAATGAGGAGACAACTGGAAAGACAGTAAGTGTAGAACAACTGTGCTCTCCCCCAGTTCTGTATGTTGAAGTTTCATTGTCCCAGTTTGGTGATATTCAGAGGCAGCTTTCTGGAAGGTCATTTTAGATGCCCCCACAAATAGAAGAGAAAGAGGTCTGTATCATGTGAAGATATAGCTAGAAGGTGTCCATTTCCATGCTGAGATGCAAGGCCCCATCAAGAATGAATATGCTGGCAATCTGGTCTTGGATTATGCGGCCTCTAAAACAGAGATGTGTGTGTCTGTTTTCTTTTTTCTTTCTTTCGTTTTTTGTTTGTTTGTTTGTTTGTTTTTGTTTTTCAAGACAGAGTTTCTCTATATAACAGTCCTGGCTATCCTGGAACTCACTTTGTAGACCAGGCTGGCCTTGAATTCACAGAGATGCACCTGCCTCTGCCTCTGAGTGCTGGGATTAAAGGCGTGCACCACCACCAGGTGCATATCCGTCTTTAAACCACCTAACATGTGGTAACTTGTTAAAGCAACCTGATCTATAACAGGTCCGTTTGTGAATTAGTGAGATACCCTGATAGCTAGGTGTGATAGCACACACCTGTGATCCCAGCCCTCAGGAGGCTAAGGTGGGAGGATTCAGAGTCCAAGGCCAGCCTAGGCTAAACAGCACGAACCAGTGTAAACAAATGAACGACAACAAAAATGTAGGCAGGTGTAGTGACAAATGTCTATAATCCCA